AGACGCGGTACAACACATGTGCACGTATTTCTTAGCCGACGAACCGATGTGCAACTGTTTGAGTAAGTGTCACAAATTGTTCGATAACGTATATCTTTTAATAACGGTCTCATTCACCGTCCGCGGATTTATGATAAAGAAGTTACGATTAGAAAAAATAGAAAAAGATCTCGCAAAGGCTATTTTTCATTTTAGATTTTAGAATAATTTTTAACGAGGCCGAAGAGACATGTGTATCTTTTATAATCATGCGCTGCAATTGTTCTTTGTCACTTTTTGGTCTATTTTATTTACAGATGCGATAGATGATCCCTTATTTGTACAAGATATGGGGATGACCGTGCGCACAGTACTCACAGAAGGCATATCCATAGCCGCATTCATCGACAATCCTAACGGTGGGAAACCCATAATTGCCGGTATGAACGTTTTGGGTACTGATAATAAAAATGAGCAGGATTACATGTACGAGGTGAGTTCTGTTAAATTTTGTAAATTTAATTGCTCTGTTCGAGTTCATTCTATGCAAGTTTTATTATGATTGTTTATAAGTGCATATAATATATAATTATAGTATAGGAGTATAGGTACATATGGGGCATTCCACACCAATTCGCGAGAGGTCAAATTCGACCTTTTTATTTTTGATGACGGCTTGTTTTTTACAGATTGGCGCAAAGCAGAATAATTAGTCAAGTTGACTTACCGTGTTGAAGCTCGAATCTGGTCGAGGCCGCGCGCAAGTCCGTGCAAAGCCACAGTACCTCTTTCTGCCTTACAAAATAATCTACAAAAAGTTCTCAAATTTTCTGCGCAACTTCGGGCCGGTCTTAAAATTTTTCTAATACTCCCCAAAATATTGCCTATAAATTTCAAGAAAATAGAAAATGGGGTTTTTGAGATATTCAAATTTTTTTGTGTTTTTTACTCTATTTGTTTAACAATATTACTATAAAAATTTTGAGTAATTTTTTAAAAAAATATGATTGAAAATAGCGTATTTTATGATCAATGAATTTTTTTCTTAGACGTTGTCTAATAGGCGAAAAAATTCATTGAAAATCTTGCAGTCTTTATTTTGCGCAGACTCTATTTTGGAAACGCTACATTTATTATCGAAACGCTCTGACATGGGTACAGTACTCGTAAAGACCTGCTAAAAAACGAGCCGCCAACAAAAATAAAAAGGTCGAAGTTTGATCCCTCGCGAATTGGCGTGAAATGCCCTATATACATAATATTATAATAATGTAATTATATATAATTATAAAATATACTTAATATATAATAATAATATTATATTATAACTGTAAGTTTTATCATATAGTAATATTGTCATGAACATAAGTCATCAAACATAAGTCACAAACATCAATGTATAAATATTTATATCAGTATATCGTATATGATCGTCAAGTATTTTGATCCTCTTATTGGCGTCCTGCTATTCTATCTTTGTATTTATCTAATAAGCGATAAAGATAGAATAACGCAAAATAGCGCTCTTCGCGAACCTATATTGTGTCAAGGAGTCTTTTTGTTTTCTCTGTATGCGTTATCAAGCGCTATTATTGCAACGTAATTAACATCATAAGTTGTAATTGATATTTGTTACAGTTTAAGTCGGAGAACTGCAAATTTATGTGCGCGATTCTTGCAAAAGCAACGAAGGTGGTATACGAACGTTATCACGGAATTGACAAGTATCTGTATGCTATTGGGCTTAGCGTAGACCCCGCTTACCGAGGATACGGATTAGGCAAGGATATTCTGAAAATCAGGTATGACTTGTGTTAAAATATTTATATTTTTTTAAAGAGCTTTGTATTTAAATGATGCAGATTGTAGATTATTTATCAGTTTTAGTCTTTCTTAACTTTCTTAACGTTATAATTATCTCAAACGCCATCTATCGAGGCAAAAACAACCGCGACGACGACGACGACGTTTCTTAATTTGTAAAATTTAGCATTTCATACTTTGCATCGTAATATTTCCGCTCGTAGGGCACGTAGCGGAAAAATAAAAACATTCTTTTTGACCCCAAGCTGTCGATCAAGCCTACTTAGAACTTGATCCTCGCTTCGATGTAATACTTGGCGCGAGACACTGCCGTGTCTCTTAGGGCCAATTTCACCAACCACAGTTAGCTTAACCGACGGTTAAAGTTAGCAGGATTGACCAATAGAAAGCAGGGTGGATTCATTTCTATTGGTCAATTCTGCTAACTTTAACCATCGGTTAAGCTAACTGTGGTTGGTGAAATTGGCCCTTAATACATTTAATACTATGACAAAATGTTAAAAAGTTACAATTAATATTTTTAAGAATATGGAATTTAACATAGATTTCATATAGATCAAGTTTGTACTTACTAACAAGTTGTTGCTACATCATTAATACGCCTCATTACTATATTATATTATTAATACGCGATATTATTAATACGCGAGCTACTTATCATTTTTTATATTTGATTTCTATTAATTCAATATTTATCACATTAATCCGTTTTATCTACTAATATATCACGTAACTTAAATCTTGATCTAGAGATCTTATCGGACCTATGTACGGTGTGCCAGCGACATCTCAAGTGTTCACATCGATATTTTCGCAGAAGCCAGCGGCAGAAGCGGGATTCGAAGAATTCTCGAAAACAAATTTTTCCAGTTTGGTAGATAAGAACGGGAAGGAGTATTTTCCCGGTATTAGTACTAAGGAGTTTAAAGTTATGGGTAAAAGGTTGCCTTAAAATGTAGTCCGACAAGCGGGACAATAACTAATACGGAAAACGGAAATTAGCTACTGTAGCAAATTTAGTGATATTTAACATCTTTTTTGCAGTGAGAGCTATAATTTAGCAATAGTAGCAAAACCTTTTGCTCTCGCTGCAACAAAATGTTAGCTGTTCTTATTTTACAATTAAATTTGACATAGTAGGTAATCTTTTTTTTCCGTGAAATATTACGAGAATTACTTAATTTTGTAATCTGGAGTAATTTTCTATTGCGTAACAATTTCTACATTGCAAACTGCTCAATATTTCTCAACATTACCGTGATGCGTTAAAACGAATGACAATAAATGGTATTTTTTCGGCGTATTATTATTAGGTTCTTATCGAAATGTAGACAGACATATACCTCACGGTCAATGAAATAAAATGAGTAAAATAAGAAAAAAATCTTTTAAATGTATTTATTAATCAACATGTTTAAATCGAAATAACTGTAGATGGAAAAAGAAATAAAGAAAATAGAAATTTATCGAAAATCTTGAAGAATCTGTTATCAGGATTACATGCAGCGATTGACTTAATTGGTCACTTCATTCGGTTCCCAGGTAGCACATATTAGTTTCATATACATTTTTTGAACGTATACATAGTTTCATAACCATAAAGAAGCGTTAAGAAGCGTTTGAATAAAAATGTTTTTGAAACCATGATTTAAGAAACGTATTTTTTACGTTTCTACAGTTAACAAAAATAGCTATTTGTTAAATTTTTCATTACAAAATTATAATTTGCTTTATCTATATATATATAATAGCCTTTTTTGAAACATTTAAATTTATATTGCACTAATTATTGCACAAAATAAATTATTTTATCCATGCACATATATCCACTTATTTACTTAAATTAATTATTTTGTCCTACCGGTCTTAATCTATTTGTCATCGGACAAATCTGAGCTTAGAAAACTTCCAACAGTTGCAAAATAAACGTTCTGCTGCACGTGGCCATTGAAAGAACATTTATTTTATACGTGTGTTCTGTTTTGAAGAACTGAACTGGTGCACATCAGTAATGCAATTAAGTTAGAGTGAGACAAATATATTTTGTTTCACTTTAACTTATTGCACGAATATGCACCAGTTCAGGAATTTCTTCGAAAAAAAAAATAGACGTCATCAGATGGTATATGCATAAAGCTTCTAGAACATTAAAACGGGAAGCACACACTTCTGCATAACGCATAATGCGTAAGCATAAGAAAATTGATTGGTTTACTTTCTTATCCACATGTGTATGGACCAATCAATTTTCTTATGCTTACGCATTATGCGTTATGCAGAAGTGTGTGCTCCCCGCTTAATTCTCACGCATGTCTCAAAGACGTCATAAACAGGTTCAAAAGACGTGAAAAGTAGGAATTTTAAATGTCTTTATCTAAAATATCTTTATCATTAAAACAAAACGTTTCTATAATAGTTTTTTAAACGTTATTTTATCGGAAAAGAAACGTTCCATCGAACGTTTTTCGAATGGATATTGACGATATTGTTACTCATGAGAAACGTATCTAGAAATTGGTTATAAAACGTTTCGGAAAAACGCCTATAAAACATTTCTGAAACGTGTATGTGCTACCTGGGTTACCATTTTTTAAAAAAGTGTTTTTATGGTATATGACGCATTTTGCAGTATCCAGCGTCTAAGCGTCTTATATGTAATGTGTTAATTTTGTATGATGTAACGCAAGACATATAACTATAAACAAATAACAATATACAAATTTATATGTTATTTAATATGAAGTACATATAATTGGATTGATAAGGTTGTTTTAAGTTATATACTGGGACGTGTTAAGGCTTATTAAAATATTTGGAATGAGCGGTGTGGATTGAGAGAATAGATGGGTGAGAATGTATTTAGATGGATAAGGTATGAAAGGCTTATGTTAGGACGTTTTGAGTTGTATTGTGATGTTTTTCAAGTAGGGGTGGGGTGGGGGAGTGGGGGTGGCGTGGTGATGAGTTTGGATAGATGAGGGTGTGTTAGGTTACATAAGGACGTCAGGGTATATTAAGTTGTCTAAGGTGAGTGGGGGAGGGTGGGGGGTGGTTAGATGAATGGTGTGGATGGGAGTAAGTAAAAATGTGATGGATGCTTGAGAGTGTGTGAAGGTGTATGGCGAGGATTGAAATGTCGATTATCGAACCGGACACGTGGACAATAACATTTTCCATTATTGCGATAGCACTACATGCTACATCCATTATTCAGTACCGTTCAGTCAGCACAATATGTTATAGTTGATTATAACAGACGGTGGTCTGGTGAACAACTGGTAGAAATCGTGACATACTTAATAATGAGAATCATACAGTTTTGTGACGTTTGGGCAAGGTGTTATTTGACACGAGCGCGGATATAGAATGACATAGAAGCTAAGCACCTCAATCTGAGCAGATCTATAGAAGGTGATAGAGAAAATGCCGCGCATCAAACCGTCGGGTCAGCCACCCAAAGTTTGGAAATTGATCGAGAAGACGGATAAGGACGGGAAACCGATGAAATTTACGATTCAGGAAATTCCTGAGGACCGTTACGAAGACGCGGTACAACACATGTGCACGTATTTCTTAGTCGACGAACCGACCTGCCACTGTTTGAGTAAGTGCAATGTCACTAATTGTTCGATAACGTATATCTTTTAATATCGATCTTATTCACCGTTTGCGGATTTATGATAAAGAATGTTACGATTAAAAGAAATAAAAAAAATCTCGCTAAGACTATTTTTCTTTTTTTAAAATAATTTTTAACGAAACCGAAGAGGAATGAGTATCTTTTATAATCATGCGCTGCAACTGTTCTTTGTCACTTTTTGATCTATTTTATTTACAGATTTGATCTATTTTATTTACAGATGCGAAAGATGATCCCGTATTTGTACGAGATATAAGAACGCGCTGGCGCTTATTACTCGCGGAAGGCATATCGATAGCTGCATTCACCGACAATCCTAACGGTGGGAAACCCATAATCGCCGGTATGAACGTTCTGGGTATTCATAGTAAAAATGAGAAGGATAACATTTACGAGGTGATGAGTTCTGTTAAATTTTGTAAATTTAATTGCCCTGTTCGAGTTCATTCTATGCAAGTTTTATTATAATTGTTTATAAGTGCATATATATAATATACTAAGTTTTTTTAACCTAGATCGCTTCCCTCTTTGTTCTTACTTTTTTCTTTAAATAATTATTTTCCGTTATCGTGTTTTTAATTAATGTTTCCATTATTCTATTAAAAAATAATTAATAAAATGTATCTCATCATTTTTCATGATCGGAATTATAAATTTTTATTTAAAATTCAGTCCGAGAATGAAGTGATGATTCCGTCCTGGCAATTTTGACATTTCAATTTTTGCACCTTTGTCGTTTTCACTCTATACACACAGTTGAACAAAGCGACGTAGACCAAAAAAAGGCCCTATAAATTTTGTAGCCAAGGGTTTACTCTTTACAACGGTATACCACATTTTACTAAAATTATTTGTTTCGTTGTTAAAAATCGGCACCGAAAAAATAGTGACAACTTCGCCCCGGTCTCTCCTATGCGTTATCAAGCACCAGTATCGCAACCTATATAATTAACATAGATTGTAATTGATAATTGTTACAGTTTAAGTCGGAGAAATGCAAATATAGGTCCGAGATTGTTGCTAATGCAACGAAGGTGGTATATGAACGTTATCACGAAATTGACAAGTATCTGTATGATATTGGGCTTAGCGTAGACCCCGCTTACCGAGGATACGGATTAGGCAAGGATATTCTGAAAATCAGGTATGACTTAATTGTGTTAAAATATTTATAGTTTTTTAAAGAGCTTTGTATTTAAATGATGTAAATTGTAGATTATTTATCAGTTTTAATCTTTCTTAACTTTCTTAACGTTATAATTATCTCAAACGCCATCTATTAAGGCAAAAGCAACCGTACAGCGACGACGACGACGTTTCTTAATTTGTAAAATTTAGCATTTCATACTTTGCATCGTAATATTTTCGCTCGTAGGGGACGTAGCGGAACAATAAAAACATTCTTTTTGACCCCAAGCTGTCAATCAAGCCTACTTAGAACTTGATCCGTTCACTCGTGCATTTGCGTAAAAGAGTCACGGTGCGGTCTCGCTTCGATGTAATACTTGGCGCGAGACACTACCGTGTCTCTTGATTTAATACTATGACAAAATATTAAAAAGTTACAATTAATATTTTTAAGAATATGGAATTTAACATAGATTTCATATAGATCAAGTTTATACTTACTAACAAGTCGTTACTATATCATTAATACGCCTCATTACTATATTATTAATACGCGAGCTATTTATCATTTTTTATATTTGATTTCTATTAATTCAGTATTTATCACATTAATCCGTTTTGTTTATTAATATCTCACGTAACTTAAATCTTGATCTAGAGATCTTATCGGACCTATGTACGGAGTGCCAGCGACATCCACTGGGTTCACATCGATAATTTCGCAAAAGTCAGCGGCAGGTGTGGGATTCGAAGAATTTTCGAAAACAAACTTTACCGATTTGGTGGACAAGAACGGGAAGGAATATTATCCCGGTATTAGTACTAAGGAGTTTAAAGTTATGGGTAAAAGGTTGCTTTAATATAGTCCGACAAACGGAACAATAACCAACACTGAAAAAGGAGATTAGCTACT